GATACACCTTAGATGAGACCTGTACAACGTGACAGTAGGTAGGGGCCAAAATTAAAACAGGCTAAACTTCTGGCCACAGATGGGTTTTTAGCAGCTTACTTTCCAAGTAAAGGTATAATTAGTGATTAAACTATTCAGTAAATGAATCATATTAAAAAAAGGGAAATTTCAATTAATATCAATTAATTACACTTATTACGATTTTTATTCATCGTGAAATCACTTCTCTCAGATTGGAGACAGACTGATGATGGTTGATTGCCAAGGGTCACATGACAAATAGGAGAGAGTGTGCAGTGGCAACCCACCTGCCAAGTTACATGACAGCCACCATCGTGACTCGTGGAAGGTAGGTTAAGCTGGGCACGGACAAAGCACTCATAACATCTTTCCTTTTTTTTATATCCCTTACATTTTTTGTGGGCCGCCCAGAATCCTTTGGCTGTTCGCAAGGGGCCCTTGGGCCATATGTTGTGCAGGCCTGCCTCAGATAACACAGGGAACTCCTGATAAGGAGATGTAGACCACCAACCTTATGGAACTTAGAGCTGTGGACAGTTGTTTACTGAGATGTCAAATGAGCTGCCCAAGGTCACAAGCAGGTAGAACTTAAACCCACATCTCCTTGGTTCCCAGGCCAGCTCTGTCTATTATACCACACTGCCTCATGATATATTCAAAGTAACGGAAAGATAAAATGAAATACAACCTTAGCCCGCATGGAGTTTATAATTTGCTACAAATCAAGTCAGTTCATTTGATTCTGTTAGATTCAATTCAATTAAAAAAAACCATTTCCTTAATACCTTCTATGTATGTGCAATATACCATGTTAGGTATAGGATTTTCAAAGATGAAAAACAACTTCACGGCTGTCTTTAAGAAGTTCATAATCTAGAAATTTACAATCTATAATCCTCACCCAGAGCATGCCCTCTAATTGTAGATGTCCCATAGGGTTCTGTCCTGGGCCCTCTTTTCTTCTTCCTCTGTACCACTTCACTTATTGATTTCACCAGCTCCAGTGGATTTAATTACTATCTCTATGCTAATGATTTTCAAATCTTCCTTCCCTGCCCTAACCTCCCTGCTGACTTTCAATCTCACATCTCCAACAGCCTTGCAGCCATCTCAAACTGAATGTCCTAATGACATCTTGGGTATGTAGGCAGCACAGTGGATACAGGTCTGGGCTTGGAGTCAAGAAGACCAAAGTTCAAATCCTGACTCAGAAACTTACTAGTTGTGTGACCCTTGGCAAGTCACTTAACCTCCAGCTATTTTAGTTTCCTCATCTGTAAAATGGGGAGAATAATAGCATCGACCTCCTAGGGTTGTTGTGAGGATCAAATGAGATAATAGTTGTAAGGCACAGTGCCTGGCACATAGTAAGTCCTATATATTATATATAATGTTAATTTATTTTTATTATTATTATTATCTTAAACTCAAAATGTCCAAAACAGAACTCACTATCTTTCCTCCTAAACTCTCTCCCCACCTCCAGTCAGTTGTGTCTGATTCTTCATGACCCATTTGAAGTTTTCTTGGGAAAGATACTGGAGAGGTTTGCCATTTTCTTCTCCAGCTAATTTTACAGATGCAGAAACTGAGGCAAACAGGATGAAGTGACTTTGTCCAGAGTCACACAGCTAGTAAGTGTCTGAGGCTGGATTTGAACTCAGGTCTTCCTGACTCCAGGCCCAGTGCTCAATACACTGCGCCACTTAGCTGCCCCTCTTCTACCTTTCCTATTATTGTAAAGGGCAACACCATCCTCTCAGTCCTTCAGACTCACAACCTAGGAGTCATCCAGGATTCCTCACTGTCTCTCACCTCCCGTATCCAAGCTGTTGCCAAGGCCTGTTGATTTCACCTTTGTGACATCTCTTTGTGACACCCCCTTCTATCCTCTGACACTGTCCCCCCTCTGGTGCAGGCCCTCATCACCTCATGCCTGGACTATTGCAGTAACCTGCTGTGAATCTGCCGGCCCCACTCTAGCCCATTCACCATTCAGCCACTAAAGTGATTTTCTTAAAGCTCAGGTCTGACCATGTCACCTCCCTTCTTAATTAGCTCCAATGACTTCCTATTACCTCCAGGAGCATGCACAAAAACCCTCTGTTTGGTGTCCAAAGCCCTCATAACCTAACCCCTCTCCTACATTTCCAGTCTTCTTACTCCTTACTTCCTGCCACATGTTCTTCCATCCAGTGACACTGGCCTTCTGGCTGTTCTCCATCCCTCAGCTCTGGGCATTTTCTCTGGCCATCTCTATCCTTGGAACACTCTCCCACTCCCCCTACTGACCTCCCTGGCTCCCTTGAAGTCCCAGCTAACACCTCATTTTTTACTGGAAGCATCCCTCAACCCTTCTTAATTTTAGTGCCTTTACTCTTCTAATTATTTCCCGTGGAGAGCTCATTTGTACGTATTTGTTTACTTATTGTGTCCTCCATTAAATTGGGAGCTCCTTGAGGGCAGGAACTATCTTTTGCCCCTTTTCATATCCCCAATGCTTAGTACAGTGCCGGGCACATAGTAGGTACTTATTGATGGATACTAAACCTACTGTGCAAAACTCAGAGAGTAGAAATGGAAATGGCATAGAGAAGTGTGATCAAGTTCCTTCTACCTCTAAATCTATGAAACCAATACAAAGGTAAGTCACATGAAGCCAGGGGCTGTCTGGTTTTTGTCTTTATATATGAACTGATTGACTGACTAAAAATTAAATAACCGTAATCTAAATTCTCTGAACTTGCTTCCTTATCTGTAAAATTAGGAAGTTGGGCTAGGTTCTCTAAGGCCCTTTTGCTGTAAATTCATGATCCTATAAATTAGAATGTAGTAAGTGCCCAAGGGAGACCATTTTGAGAAGGAGATACTGGTAAGAGAGGGGTCACTTCTAGCGGAGGAAGTCAGAGAAGGTTTCACAGAGGAAATGATGCCTGACGTGAACCTTAAAGAGAGAGAATTTTTACAGGTAGAGGTGTGATAGGAGTTCATTTCAGGCATGGGGGCACACCTTCACAAAGATCTGGGGACTGGAGAGCACCATGTCCAGTTTGGCTTTTGATTTTGTTAAATTTGGATGTAGGGTTTATGAAGTCTAGTAGAATGAAAAGAGATGATAGCTAGATTGTAGAAGATTTTGAATCAAGTTTGCTGCAAATGTAGCTGGGCTTCTGGAATCATTTCAGGGAATTAAATCTGGAAAAGAATGGGTCTCAGGAGACCGATGGCCACCCTGGAGAGGTAGTTTGAAACAAGGCTGATTTCCAGTCTGAGAGACTTCCAAGGAGGTTCTGAGAGTGACTAGGCTGGTTTTCCCCTCTCTCCTCTCCTCTTTACCCTTGAGCCCCCAGGAACACAAAAACCTTGGGATTCCAACAGAATTGACCCTTGCCCCATCTCCACCCTCCCTGAAATTATCTAGATGGGCAAAGTGAAACAATGATCAAATGAATTGCCCAAGTTGGTGCAATACATTCATAGTAAATTTGGACACAGCACCTAAACCTTCTTCCTAGTTCCTAACTGTATCCTCTAGACTAGAGCATAGGACATGTGTGAGAGCCATTCTGAGAACAGGTCTTAAAACACAGACAGGTAATGTACTATATACCAGAATGGATAGTAATCTCTGGACCTGAGCTTGCTCCCAGATCTGCTACGTACTAGCAGGCACCATGATATAGCAGAAAGACTATAGGATTTAGACTCAGAAGATCTGGGTTCAATTCCTGGCTCTGCTAATAGCGGTGTGACTTTGGGCAAGTCACTTCCTTCTCTTGGCCTCAGTTTCTTCATCTACAAAATGAGGGCTTTGGAGCAGATGATCTCTAACACCCTTTTAGCTCTAAACCTGATCCTTGTCTCTTTGAGCCTCATAGGATCATAGATTTGGGCAGCTAGGTGGCTCCGTGGAGTGAGGGCCAGGCCTAAACTCAGAAGACTCATCTTCCTGAGTTCAAATCTGGCCTCAGACACTTGACCCTGGGCAAGTCACTTTACCCTGTTTGCCTCAGTTTCCTCATCTGTAATATGAACTGGAGAAGGAAATGGCAAACTGCTCCAATATCTTTGCCTAGAAAACTCCACATAGGGTCCCAAACAGCTGGGCATGACTGAGCAATAACAACAAACAAAAAAAGGATTATAGATTTAGAGCTGGAAGGGACCTTAAGAAGTCATTGAGTCCAACCCAGTCATTTTATTTTTTAATTTTTATATGGTTTTTAAATTTTCTTTTTTATTCTCCTCATTTTGCAGCTTGGGAAACTGAGGCCCAAAGAGATTGAGTGACTTATCCAAGGTCACCTAGGAAGTATATGGTAGAGGAAGTATTTGAACCCTGGGTCTCAATCCCAAACTCCTGCTTCCTCTTCCAATGGCTGTCCTAAATAGTTTTCATGGGTTATGTAATCATTCCCCCATTTTCTCCCTTAAACCAAAATGCAACAAAACACTCTAGCAAAGCTGGATCCCAACCAAGCTGGGATGACTTCTAGTTTCCTCATCTGTAAAATGAGTATAATATACTTGAAATTTCTTTCCTCCAGGGCTGAAATGAGGACCTAAGCTGAGATAATGAATGGAAACCAGCTATGTAACCTATGAATCACTCTACAAGGTGTCCCCAAGCTTTAATAGCTTAAAACTGCAAGACTTTTGGGGACACCTCGTATAAACAAGAACCTTCTTATCATACCTGTTTATAAGTACGCCTTGCTTTATTCCATAGATGCAATCCTGAGAAGTTGTATCTGAATTTCTGTCATTTTTATCTGATTTTCAATAGGCACTAGAAGTTCTTACTATTTAAAATAACTCTATGGTAAATGCTTTTGTAAAGAAAATATCCCCTCTCACCACCTTATTTTTTGTTTATAAATCTGGATGTTCATATTTCAGCTTTGCCTAAGGCAGGAAACACACTTTAAAAAAAATGAAGCTAATCAATTTTTCCTTTGGAAGTTAAGCATGTACCTGTTTTAATGTGTCTTTCAAAAACGAAACCGGCAGGGCTCTTTTAGATGTTGTACTCACAAGCTGAAGGAATGGCTGGTATTTAAATGCCCTTGGAAGATAGTATAGTTCTGTGATAAGCGGTTTTGCTTTGATGTTGTAAAGCTTTCATGGTACCTTATGGTGCCAATTATCAATCACTTATGATTGTGTTTGATATCTGTTCAGTACATAGCTATTATTCAGTCCACTTGAACAGCCTTAGCGTACAAGATTCTGAGGTTTATGACAGACTGGAGATCATGCCCTGGGTCAAAGGCAAGTAGAGGATTAGTCCAGTGTTGAGCCCCTGGGTCATGGGAAAGGTAGACTTTCTTCAAAGAATGTGCAGAAACACGAAAGATGAAAGTTAGCTTCAGAATATCTGTAGGGCAACTTATTGCTGGAGCCATCATTGGCCAAGACAGGGGAGAAGCCCCAGAAACCTCTTTGATTTCTTGCCTGTTTCACATGATGTTTTGTAATAAACATAGTTCAATGACCAAAGTCTAGACAAACAAATCACAGACCTGGCAAATCCCTGTGATCTGATGACATGTTATGTCTCTGAGATGCAATAGGAAGAAGGAGTCAGCTTTGAAATGCTAACACAGACCCTTTGTGAGCTAAGAGTGAATGAGGGCTGTTAGGAAGGGGACTCAGACAAGCAAACTCCTCTCTAACCAAATTAGAAGGTATTTCCCGCTTCATGGCTTGTGATTTCCCTGGTTGCCTCTTCCTTCAGGCAATAGAAAGCTCTATTGAACTTCGGTGAAATGGGAGAGGTTTAAATATTAATATTTCTTAGGCCCTCAGGGTGATTTCACCACCTGCTTCCTCTTCCAACAGCTGTCCTAAACAGTTTTCACGAGTGACATACTGTCCCCCGACTTCCCCTCCCTTAAAAAAACACTTCAGCAAAGTTGGATCCTAACGGAGCTAGGAAGACTTCCAAGAGTATTTAATTTGTGTTGGTGAAGCTTGTCTCTGTCTTTTGGCAGGGAGGAGAAATCTCAGAGGTAGCCTGATGTTTGCTCTCCTTCTCTATTGCTGGGTGTCAATGAAAGCATGATGGAATGTTATGTCATAATCAGCAAAGGGGACAAGCAGGGAAATCCCAATTCTATTGGAGAGGATAGAGAAAAAATGCTGAGGGAGAGCTGGGCTGAGTTTCCTGTAAAATGATCACCGACTGAAAATTGCTTTATCCCTCCTTTCTTTTTTGTGTTCTTCATTAAAAAAAAAAAGGACCTCTTATAACTACAGTTCAGAATGATAGACTATGTATATGGCACATAATGCTTAGTATTCTTTCATGGATATATTATGGCTGTTTCCATTTTTAAATGATTCCTTCATGGGCATTCATCAAGAGCGGTTTTATTTATAATTATTTAAATATTTTCCCCCTTTATTCATCGCAGGCAAAAGGACTGGATTGTTTACTGCATGTTAATTGTCTCTTATAAATATTTACTGGATCAGTCTGTAAACTGTGCTATAAATTAGGCCAGAAGGTTCAAAACTCTGACTAACTCTCTGTTTGGTATCCAGCCTTTTAAGGTAATCTCACTGCTGGTATCTGTGCAATTAGGTGAGAGCATTTTAATAACAGGGAATCATAATTGCTGTTTGCTTATCATGGAGAGGAATTTTCCCCCTGTGCATTTATTTTCAGTGAGACTAGATTATTTGGTAGCACAAGGTGAGGCTGATAATATTTTAATTATTATGTAAAGTAATTTTGGGACTGTGACTGAGGAAAGAGGATTTGCAATGTTTTCTCCTAAGTTTATAGAGAATGGAGATACTTAGATTCCCACAGTGATAGAAAATAGAGCAATATGCCTTTATAGAAAGCAATAAATAAATCAAAAGTTTTTCTGAAATTATTTTTCTGAGACAAAATGGATATACAAAATTATGTTGTGAGAAGCAAAAGGCATTCTCCTTTCAAGGTTTTTCAAGGAAAAAAGATTTTTGTCATAGAAATCAATTTCTCAATAGGCCAATCTTAGAAAACAAAACCAAGTTCGATTACATTAGTTTATTGCAGGCAGTGTCCAGCTGACATCCCATTATTACAGCATCTCTTTTCCAGATGTCACTCATTTAGGAGTGAGACAGGAATAGTTCCACCTATTAAATTTAATTTGAATCATCATACTGGGTAGTTTCATGACATCAATCTATCAGCCTCACTAGATCTAAAAGTAGCAGCTTCTCCAAAGACTTTTAACGCAAGTCAGTTATACACTCTGACAACCAAGTAATATATTTGTTGTTCTCAAGGATTGAATGTACCTTTTCATAAATTCATGCAAATGCACATATTAGCACCATAATGAGTACAATAGAAAAATATCGAAAGCTTTTCTCAGAGTGTTTAGACTGTTCAGATCATCAAACCTTTAAAGTTCTGAGATTAAATTAAAAAAAATCAATTTCTATAGGAGAGAACCCCGAAACCTCAGAAAATTCAGTGGGGATATACATCCTTGTGGGAATAGAACCAGTTTCTCTGGGAACCTCCCCGAATGATAATGATAATAATAATAATAATAATAATAATAATAATAATAATAATTGTGGTAGTGATAAAACATTACTGCTACTATCAACTTTCTCTTCTGTCTCATCATTCTTATTTTTGTTATTGTTATTGTTATTATGTGCTAAATGCTCTAGAACTATAAGTTTAAGTATTATTCTAATTATGACTCTAAAAAATCTAGTCATCAGCCTGGTAAGTGAGGACCTAATACTAAGGAATGGCAAAAGAGACTTTTTAGTTAGATTGGGGGGAGGCAAGGACTAGGACCACTCCAATCAGGGTAGAATGGATGATGATTAAGTCTACTGGAAGAGAAGGCAAAACTATTCCCCTTCTATTTGCTTCTGTGTTTTCTACCAAGAAGAATAATCTTTTGTCTGAGAAAGAGAAGTGAGGGAACAAAAACTCAAGATAATTAAGAAGATGGTAAGAGATCACCTATGATAATGAGTTCCCACCACCTGGTCCAAGCAAAGGACATGCTAAGCTACTGAAAGAACTTGTGGTTATGATTGCTGAGCGCTGTTGGTGATCTCTGAGGAATTAAGGAGGTTAAGAGAGGTGCTACAGAACTTTAGATAGCTAATGGTTTTTATTTTTTTTTAAAATTGAGAAGGTTGGAGGTTCAGACTCCAGGTCAATGAGCTTAGTGACAATTCCAAATAAAACTATCGAATACAAATATTAAGGTTATTATTTATAAGCTCTTAGGAAGGGAAGAGGGGATAACTGTGATCGAGCATGGTCAGTCTCAGTATGAGCAAGTCATGCCAGAATCTCCTTTTGACTAGATCACTAGACTGGCCAATCAGAAGAAAGATAGCATACTTGGATTTCACTGAGACATCTGGCAAAATCTCTCATGATATAATAATGGACAAGAGGGAAAGATTCAAACTTGGTAACTGTCAGATTAAAGGGGATTCAGAATCTTCAGGTCCAAAGAATATGGATTAATGGTTCAGTGCCAAATTGTACTAAAGTCTCTGGTGGAGGACTGAAGGGCTTGTTCCTTTGTCTGAAATCTTTTAAACTGTATTGTAAATGACAGAGATGACTATATATATGGCATACCTATCAAACTTGCTCATGATATGAGGCTGCTAGAAATAGCTAATACACTGGATGGCAAATCGGGGTTAAAAAAACACAACCAAACACGATAAGCTGCTGAAACTAGTAAGATGAAATTTTATAGAGACAAATGTAAATTTATGTACTTGCGTTTAAAAAATTAAGTTTAGGATGAGGGGGATAAAACTAGAAAGCAATTCATATGAGGAAGATCTCAGGTTCATGGGGTACTAAGCGACAAACTTAATATGGAGTGACAGGTTGGTGAAGCACCCCAAAAAAGCATTTGTAGGTGTAGACTGTAGAGTAAAAAGAGACGATAGTCTTCTAACAATCCACCCATGTCAGATAATATCCAGGCTATGATGCCCATCTCTGCCATCACATTTTAGTAGGCATGAAGGATAATTTTTGATGTTGTTGTTTAATCGTTTCAGTCATGTCTGACTCTTTTATGACCACATTTGGGGTTTTCTTGGCAAAGATACTGGAGTGGTTTGTCATTTCCTTTACCAGCTCATTTTACAGATGAGGAAACTGAGGCAAACGGGGTTAAGTGAGTTGCCCAGGGTCACAATGCTAGTAAGTGTCTGAGGCCAGATTTGAATTCAGGATTATCAGTCTTCCTGACTCCAGACCTGGTACTCTATTCACTGTGCCACCTAGCTACCCTAAGGATGATTACTGATAGACGAGCTAAAATGTCTAACCAGGATAGGGAAGGAACTTGAAACCACACCATGAGGACTGGCTGAATAATGGGAGAAGATACTTTGGTGAGGTAAAAGAAGGCAGCGTTAATGTAACCAGCTATATTCAAGTATTTGAATGGTTGTCACATGGAAGTAGAATATATTTTTTACTTGATCCTGGAAGGCAGAAGTAGAACCAATGGGTGGAAGTTACAGGGGGATCAGCTTCAAATAAAATTAAGGAAAAAAGGATTTAACAATTAGAGCTCTCTGAAAATGGAATAGTACAGCTTTGGAGAGAGTGAATCCTTTGTTGCTAGAGGTTTTCAAATTGACTCTGGATGAGCTCTTCTTGAGGTTGGTATAGATGGTGCAGTGGGTGACTTTGATGCTGTGTTTGTCCTCATTGAAGGCATTTGACAACATGGCTGAAAACATCATGCTAACAAGCATGAGAGCAAGCACAGAACCTTGTTTCACTGCATTAGTGAAGCACAAGAGCTTTGCCCATTCATCATGAAATTGATGTACAATGCTGATGAGCTTCTCTGGGCAACCAACTTTTGACATAGTTTTCCATAAGCCCTCCCAACTGATGGTATCAAAGGCCTTGGTCAGATCTACAAACATTGTATACAGGTCTCTGTTCTGCTCCTGGCATTTCTGCTGGAGCTGTCGGTCAGCAAACACCATATTGACCGTTCCTCAGCCCTTTCTGAAGCCACACTGGCTCTCAGGTAGATGACCATCATCCAAGTGAGGGATCAGCCTATTAAGGAGGACTCTGGCAAGAATTTTGCCACCAATGAGCGAGAGAGAGGACCCCCTCCTCCTGTGATTGTCACAGGGCAATCTATTTCCTTTACCTTTATAGAGATGGACAATGGAAGCATTCTTGAACTTCTGGGGGATAACCTCCTCTTGCCACATAACCTGGAAAATTTCAGTCAACTTTTGTATGAGAAATGGACCCCCTACCTTGTAAATTTCAGCTGTAATAGAATCAGCACCAGGTGCTTCGACACATGAAAATTTGTTGTATGCCTGTGAAACCTGGGCAGTATACCAACGCCATGCCAGGAAACTGAATCGTTTCCATTTGAACTGTCTTAGGAAGATTCTGAAGATCACCTGGCAGGATAAGATACCAGATGCTGAGATCCTTTCTAGAGCTAAACTGCCAAGCATTCAAACTCTACTGCAGAAAGCACAACTCTGATAGGCTGGCCATGTTGTTCAAATACAAAACATATGCTTGCCAAAAAGACCATTTTACAGAGAACTTACACAAGGCAAGCACTCACATGGTGGTCAGAAGCGATGCAAGGACCCTCTCAAGATCTCTCTTAAGAACTTTGGAATTGATTGTGTGACA